CAACATGTTCATCAGTGTCCAGCATAGATTGAGGTTGACCGCTGACCGCTTAACTCTCCGTCGAAAGTCGCGATGTCACCCGTCATCAGCTCATCGAGACACCCTTCCAAGCAACAGAGTCGTTGTGCGCACCTCAGTCTGTAAGCGTCCGGCAAATCACATTTCATTGGGCCTTGAGCAGAACAGATGATAAAGTTAAAGTGCAAGGTCGCGGCTAAGGATCACCAGATGCTGCAACGATCTTCGGGCGTCTTGGCCATCTTGTCGCGACCAGCCTTGCATCCGAAGGCCTCGGCAAACTCGGGCGAGTTGACGAGGACGCCGTTGACGCGGTACTTGGTGGGGCTGTGCGGGTCGGTGCGGAGGCGCTTGACCTGCTCGCTGGCGCGGATGTTGCGTGCCCAGCTGACGCCATAGGCGATGAAGAAGAGCTGCTCGCGGGTGTAGCCCAAGCCAGGCAGCAGCGCGTTGGCCGCCTCGACCTCGTCGCCACCGAGAGCCAGCTCGTCCCTCCAGGCGCGGTAGCTCTGAGCAAGACCACCCGCGTCGGCGACATCTTCACCCTTGGTAAAGTTGGAGCGCAGGTGCAGCTCGTGGCCCTTGCCGTCAGAGACAGTGTACGAGTGGTACTGGTTGGCTAGGCACGTCTGTCGCTGCTGGAATTGCTTGGCGGTCGCCTCGGACCACCAGTCGCGGAGGTAGCCTTGCTTGTCGTACAGTCGTCCGTCCGGGTCAAAAGCGTGCGAGAGCTCGTGACCGGCAACGGCGCCAAAGGCTCCGCGCTGCAGGTACGACGGCCACGAGACGTGGAAGTAAGGCGGCTGCATGATGCCTGCGGGAAAGAGGATGTAGTTACCCTGGGGCGAGTACTCGGCGTTGACCTCTGCGGGGAACATGTCCCAGAGCTCGCGGTTGAGCTTGCGCCCTACCTGCGCCCAGTCGCGCTTGGCCATGCGCGTCGACGACGCCAGCCGGTTGGCGAAGTAGTTGGACGCGTCCACAGGCAGATCACGGTAGAACGCCGATACGGACACGGCGTCCGTGGTGTTGGGTGCGTTCGGGTAGCCGACCATGACGCGGATGGCGTCGGCCTTCTCGTGCGCCTTTTTGCGCGTCTTCTCGTCGAGCCAGTCGAGCTCGGGCAGGCGCGATTTGAAGGCATCGATGACCGAAAAGATGATCTGCTCGACTCTCTTTTTGCTGTCGCCCTGGAACGCGGAGCGAACAAAGTAGCGTCCTGACATGAAGCCCAGAGCTGCGTTGAGATCGCCCATGCACTTGGTCTCGCGGTCCTCCTTGGCGTCAGGAGCGACGCCCTTCGAATACCTGTCCAGACGCTCTGCTGGGCCGCGCAACTTGACGTTGGGTCCGAGTGCGGTACCAAACTCGCGGATGGCGGTCCAGACGAGATAAGCTTCCAGCACGTCGGTCTTTGTGCGTGAGATGAGCGCGTCAAGCGCCGTGACGAATTTGGGGCTGGTCAGGATGATCCTCTCGGGCATTCGGACCGTCAAGGCGGAGAAGTAGGCGGGCCAGCTGATGGAAGAGAAGGTGTACGGCAAGGCAGTCGTGTTGATCGGGTTGTAGGATGCCACAGGATCATTGACCTCCTCCGAGTCGGGGGTGATGTCGGCCAAGAGGCGCTCGAACTCGACAACATGTTCGGCGAGGGGGCCAAGTGGAGCCGATTTGCCGCGCTTGTCCTTCTTGCCACTGGCTTTGACGTGCTTGAGCTCGCGGTCGTACACGGCGAGGCCATCGGCGACGACGCGCTTGTAGAAAGCGATCTCGTCCTTATCCTCGTAGTAGGACTGATCTGGCAAGCCGAGACCGGAAGGGAAGAACCACGGAGTGGCGGCGGTGGGGTCCACCACGGCGTCGCCGTCGATGGTGATGTCAAAGAAGGCGGGGAGACCACGGCTGTGTGCCCATGCGATGGCCTCGGTGAGGCCCTTCTGCCTCTTGCCCGAGGGCGGAGGGGGCTTGGGGCTCTCGCGCGGGGGATGCGGTTTGGGAGAGCGAGCGGGTGGCTGGTTGGGAGGCACAGGCTTTTCCGAACGGTCATCGACCTGCAGAAGGAATCGACTGGGCTCGGAGATTTCATCGTCATCTGGCCCAGCTTGACGAATCAGCAGGCGGAGATGCTCAAGAACATCGAGGAGGGGCTTTGCGCCGAGCTTGTCCTGAGCTTTGACGTCGATGCATGCGTCGTAGTAGTCCTTGAGCTTGACGAGGTTCTGCCTGTCGGCTTCGTGCTGCTGCTTGTCCTGGTCGTTGCCCTTGCTGGAGGACTGATCGGCATGGAGATCGAGCTGAGCGGAGGACGGAGCGTCGGCGAGGATCTGGCGGAGGATCTTTGAGTTTTCGGAGAGTACGAACTGGCCCGTGCCGAAGAGGCCAGCGTCGCCAGGAATGGGATGCGACTTGAGCCAGTTGTTGGTGGAGAAGGCGTAAAAGTCGTCGCAGGGGTCGACAGATTCGTCGATGGAGCGGAGGATCTCGCTCGCGGCGAGCACACAATCCTTGGTGGTGCAGATGTCGCCCTCGGGCGGGTTGGGGTTGGGATTGCCAGGAGCGGGGACTGGCGTGGGTGAGGCGGGACGGTGAGCAAGTTTATGCTGCGAGCCGGCAAAGAGACCGATAAAGACCGCAGCGAGGAGGAGGAGGGCTACGGATGCAACCACAAGGAAGCGCTCCAAAGGACGGAGCTCCTCCGGCTTGGCAAGGGGAGCAAAAGTGGCGGAGAGCTGACGTCGGAAGCGGGACCAGAGCGACTGGTGCATGGCATCATCGGCACCGTCGTGCTCTTCTCTGAGGAGAGGGCGGTCCTCTGCATGATCGTCGGTCGAGGGCCGGCCGTAGTCGTGAGTGGCCATGGCGGGAGCACGTCGAACCCGTGCGGGCAGAGGCTAAACCTCGAAGCGTGCGACTGAGCGATGCGGCCGACAAGTGCGAGGGCAGAGACAATCAACAAGGTTTTGTCCTCGATGCAGATACTGATCGCGACGGTGATGAGGGATGAGGAAAGGAGGTTTTACTTCGAACTGTAACTCAATCCATGCCGCTACCTGAGTCTGTCGCGGATCGTTCTGCACGAGCCACTCTCGACAGACGCGCAAGTGACCCAGACGTCACGGATTAATCGGGCACGAAGCGGGACTCGGCAAGCAAGCCGGCGAGCCGCCTGAGCCCGCTTCGAAGACGGAAAAAAAATCGTGACAACTAGCACGCACCCGACTTAATTGCGAATAAGTCTTCCCATCATAGATTGCGATGCCGCCTACGTGTGTGGTGGGGTTTGCTGCAGTCTAGATGCCGACCGGTTGCCCTTTCTGCCTATGCAACCAACGTTCCCAATAGTACCCTCCCAATGACAACCTCGGGCTCACGCAGTGGCAACAAGGGAAAAAAGTGCGTGTGAATTTGATTTGAAGTAAAAACACCACGCCGCGACGACCGGACGAGAACGTATCTCCCGGATGTGATGGTGGCGGACCGCAAATGCGATAACGTCGTAGGAAACACCATCAGATGTTCTCTACTTTGTCGCTTCAGCGAGATACGTCACGAGGTCATTGCGGTCCTTCTCCTTCTTGAGACCAGCGAAGGCCATCTTCTGTTGAGAGAGAAAGAAGAGCGAAGAGAAGCGATATTGTCAGTGACAGGTCGTAATACGAGCTAGGAAGGGGTGAGGAAGCGATAGCGACTGTGCCAGGAATGTATTTTTTGGGGTTCTCAAGGTACTCAAAGAGAGTATCGTTGCCCCACTCGACAGCTGTTGCGGAAGAGAAGTCAAAGAGTTAGAGGATATACTTGGATGACGTCCTAGACCACAATAAGATGATGCTTACCTCTGTTCTTGTTAGCCTCAGTGCTGACGACGTTTTGAAGGGTTGTACGAAGATGAATGAGCAAGTATACTAAGGCTGAGACACAAGAATGTTGATGTACGTACTAGCTGTAGCCATCGACGGTGCCGGAAGTGCGACCGAAAAGACCGTGGAGGTTGGGGCCGACTGTGATGACGAGGAGAGGAATGAGAAGATGTCAGTCTACTAGCTCGGCAGCAGAGAGAGGACGTTTGAGGGTCGGGGACCCGAATGCGACGGCCGTCCGAGGAAGACGAGGAGGACTTGATCGCGAAGAGACGCGACAGGCCGACGAAATGCATATACAGCGCTGGCTCATGGGGACGATGCTGCGCATCCATGGCCAGTGGGTGCATGACCTTCCTGTGATGTCGAAGGAGATAGGTGGCAGACGGTCCGCGGGGGATAGGATGATGGCACGTACCCTTGTTAGGCTCGCCGGCACCGAGGGTGTGGCACTGGGCGCAGCGGGTCTTGAAGAGACCGGCACCCTTCTTGGCGTCACCTTCCTTGAAACCCATTGTGATAAGTGTGTAGATCGAATTGAAGTCCGCGAGGAAGTGTTGATTGATGGTGGCGGGAGGGACGGGAAGACGAGAGCGGAATCGATATATCGAGGCGAGGGTGGGAGTATGTGTGTTGCTGCAGCTTGCAGCGCAATCT